ACATTTTAATATTTTGAAGCAGGTTATAAGAGGAAATGGTAACTATGCAACTGGTGAAAACTCTGATGCTGTCAGCACAGCCAACTCTGTTTTTCATCTCTTACTGGCATTCCTATTTCATGAGCCCCTTTTGAAATTTTCAAACACTGCCATCATCTTGACAATGGTATTTCCATTTCCATTTCTGGAAAAAAGTTCCAGACCTCTGGGCACAGATCGAGTGTCTCTGACATTTGGCTGTCCGGTTGTTTTTGCTGCTTTGGAAAAGAAGCTCCAGACGTCAATGTGACTGCTCAATTTCTGTATCAGCAGGCACGGGTGCCAAATGTTCTGCCACTGATATTGAAGGACGTCTTGCCTGATGCCACAAGAAGCATCAGCCTCATCAGGTTAGGGGCTGAATCATTTTTTCAAAATATTTTCTCAAGAAATGGGAGCAGAATGAGAATAGTTCTTCACTTACTAAATAGAAATTTTGTTAAATTTCCAGAGAAGAGTCTTGAAATACTTCATTAAACTTATGGCGCAATTTTTACTTTTTTTAAAATAGAAAAGGAAAGGTCCACTCTCTCAGTTTAGCATATTTGGACAATATTTTTGGCGATGTCTTTTGGTTAAAGCCCTGCAGTCAACATCACGTATGCTGCTGAAGAACGAAGAGCTCCTCTTCAATAAGACATTGGTCACTAAGAGAACGTCTAACACTGAAGAAAGAACATCTGCAATTTGGAGTTAAGGGTGACCAGATGTCTTCCAATTTCTCTGCAGGCAGAAGCAAACATGTGCCAGACTCTTAAAAATTACCTCTGATCAAGATAAAATGTGGATTTATAATCCAAAATTTAGCTATATGGACAAACATTAATGATGTGGACATTGCCAAAGAAAATAACCTCAGTAATCTGAGGACAAAGGAAATTAATTACTCAAAATGAATTCAACTGTTTCTTGACTCAAGTCCATCCTCACCTGGAAAGTGTGCTACAGAGCTTGATTACATTTGCTGTTGTATGCTTTTACAAGCCAGGGTTTATAACACTTTTTTTTATAACACTCAAAACAAAACAAAAAAATCAAAACTGATTGGATATCAAGCATGCCGTAAATGTTGCCATATCAAAACCACTCAAAGTTTTCTATTTCTTTAAGTCGAATCTCAGCAGCCCTCAAATTGAAAGTTGTTGATAACCTGAGTTGAAGTTCAAGTTTTGCTTTGCTTGGAAATTTTTATTTCCTTTTTTTTTTATGAAGGGGTATTAATTGTTGCATTAAAATGAGCAAGAGAGGCATAGGTTTGTAAAAATGTTTTTCGTATTTTTCTACGTGTAATCACATAAAAAGAATGTGTAATCAATTTCTAATATCATAAAATAAGTACTATCTAGATTTTTGTGCATATGTTCAGGTACTCTTTTCCTGTAAGTTCACAGCTTTCATCAGAGTCTCAGAGAGGTCCATGATCTAAAAACACTGGGGAAAATACACTCCTCCAATTTAGATACTGACCTCACATAACATACATACTATCTCACAACAATTCAAGAATTATATGGAAGAAAATCAGACCACAACACTTCAAAAAATATATATAGACAGATAATTAGCACATTTCAAGCTGAGAAAAATCTTTCTAAACAAAAAAGCAAGAGAAAAACTGATTTCATTGACAAACATGGGAAAGACATCCATATCAAAAAACATCAACAAAATTAATAAGACAAATAAAATAGGAAAAATACCTGCAAGAAATATAATAGTTAAAAAACTTAACATGAAAGACCAAATAAATCAGCAAGAAAACACAAACTTTTAGGTAAATAAATGTAAAAAGACGAATACTTTCAAAAGAGAAAATACTAATGGAATATAAACATTTAAAAATTAATCTCTTTAATAATAAAAAAATTCAAGTTAAAACAAGGTCATTTTGTGTATAATATTAGCAAAGATTTTTTTAAAACTGTATAAGGAAAAGCTATGAAGGAAAAAGAGTACTTTCATCACCAGTAGAATAACAGTACATTAGCATAGTTTCTTTGGAAAGCAATTTTGTAATATATATCAAATGTTTTTAAAATGGTCACTTTCTTTAGCTCAATAATTTAATTTCAAATCATTTATATCCAAAGGAAAAAATCCTAAACATAGATAGAGATTTTATGTAGAAACAATTTTCAGTATTATTGATTTAAAAATATGAAAAATAATCAAAGATAAGGGAATGGTTAAGTATATCAAGGTACATCCATATGATTGAATATATAGTCATTGAAATAGTGTTTGCAATGAGTTTCTTGGATGACATGATAAAAAACCAAGGATCTGTTAAACGAGGAAAAAAAGATGTAGCAAAAAAATGATGAAAAAAATTTTTAAGGCAATATGACAAAATGTTAACAGTAGCTGTTGCCAGGTGGGATTTGGGTGATTATTGTTATTCTCTGTAGTTTGCAAATTATCTACAATGAGCATATATTACTGACACTTGGGAAAATAAATTTAAATTAAACATATCAAGATTAGATCATGGATAGAGGCAGCAATATTTTAAAGAAAAAGAAAAAAATCTCGTATGAGTGAGCAAATAATGGGTACAAAGTTTCAAAATAACTGATGAGAGAAAAGGTTTTGTTGTTTGTTTCTCAGCTTAGCTGTCCAAAGGTACTAACTTTTCTGTGACTTGGATGCTGCTGAGTGTTCTTTAAATGGCAAACCATAAACTGTCATTGTCTCCAACCTTAAAAAATCAACTTATCAGTCAAAAATAAGAAACAATTTGAGGCTGGCGAGGCTTTTATCCTCTGGAAAATGTTTTACAAGAAGAACTAAAATAATAGAAGAGGTGAAGAAATGACTACATAATAGTTTAAATTTTCTCGTTTGAAAAATGATCTTTAAAATTTGATAAAGTCTATAAAGTTACCTGAATCAGATTGTGCCGGGGGTTTGTTAGAGATGAAGACCTTCACTGTCCCACCCTCCTGGATGAGACTCAGAGAGGATCAGCTAGACCCCAAGAGAGAGGCTGAGCAGCCTGGCCGAATGCTTCTTCCACCCACTCCTAAACTCACAGGACTTTAAGCTTTAACATTTAAACTTTAACAGCTGTCCAATTTCCTTTACATAATATAATCTTATGCCAAAATCCTATTTTTTAACAGTGAAGATTATCAATTACAGAAAAATGGATAATATAAAAAGATAAGAAATAATCTATATATATCCAGCAGTTGGGGATTGGTTAAATTATGGTATATCCAGAGCGTTGAACACTGTGATTATGTGGTGCCATGGATTATAAATTTAAATGTCCACAGTATATTCATTTTTTTGTTGTTGTATAATGATAAATATAGTAATTATCCAGATCTGAGCATCACATATTGCACAAAGGTATTGATATTCAGTGCTATACCCCACAGATATGTACAATCGATTATGTTTCAATTAAAAAAAAATGCCTACGGGAACTAGGTAGGTAACATAAATGAGTATAGTGGGCCTGTGCCGGAGTTGGGAGCAACAGAGATTGGGGATTTGAAGAGTAAATACTTCATCTAAGGAAGGTAGCACTATTTGACTCCAGTCAGTTGTGGGCCTTGTAGAAATGTGGGACCAATGCTGCCAGACATTCCTATTTTTAAAAACTTTTTATTTAGAAGTATTTTCAAATTTACAAAATTACAAAAAAAAAAAAAAAAAAGACAGAGTAAAGGAACACCTAAGCCCTTACTCAGGATTTTATTTTTATTGTTAGTATTGGAGTCCACTTGAATTCTCTCCCTGCACACACACACACACACACACACACACGCATGCATGTGCACATGCAGTTTTTTTTCTGAACCATCTGAGGGTATGTTACATACATTGTGACTCTTTACTCCTAGATACTCCGTTGTGAATTTCCAAGGAATAGAAACCTGAAACCTCACTATTTTTGAGCTGGGACTCCTGGAATGAAGAAGGGAGGGCATGAGAAGGTCCTCTTCCCCTGGCCAGTAGGGGACCAGTCAATCAGCCACTGTAAGCAGAGCTATAACACACCAAACAGAGGTTGCAGACCATTGCACTAGATCATTAACGCTCCACCGGTAACAATACCTCCAATACATGCATATTTGTTTATAAACTAGATATATATAATAATCTACTAATATATACCTTATAAAACATATATTTAGAAAATAATGAGATAAAATTAAATACAAATACAAGGTTTTAAGTTTTCTTCCTGCATTCCAAGGGAGGATCTTGCACCCCGTGGGGCATGCGCCTGCTCCCCCACCTTCAGGACCGCTGTTCTACACTGGGGGGCTACGCAGAAAAAGAAACACTGCCATTTCCAAAGCTGAGTCTGGGTCCTGCTCCCTGGATTGTATCTCCTTAACATCTGCCAGCTCTCTCTATCAGAACATATTGTTTTGTTGCCTTCATAGCTCTTATCATTTCTGGAAGTCATCTTGCTTATTTATATGTTTACTTGTTTAATACTCCCCTTGACTAGAATATAAGCTGCTTGAGATCTAGTGGGATCTTGTCTGCCTTATTCATTCCTAATTTCTCAGCACTTAGAACAGGGTTTGGCACAAAGTAGGTACTCATTAGATGCTTATTAGTGAATGGAATGACATATTCCCTGAGATATTCCGGCTCTCCCCCCTTGCCTGGACCTCCATTCCGCTAGCACGCAACAGGGCAGGGCAATACCCTAGTCTACTTCTAAGTAAAGCTTCTCCCTTTAAAGACCTTCTGGAGAGGGTGACAGGCTGAAGACAATTTTGTGCTACATGTAAAACACAGGCCCACAATCTCAAATTTACAACTTAAAAAATATATGAAATTACAATATCTCTAAAGCCATTTCTTTTTTAAAATAAAATCACTGACTCGTAAGGTGAACTATGATTTGAACACAAAAGCTGCCATTCGCAGTCAAACGAGTCAAGCTCTCCTTGGAGTTTCTGTCCTGGGAGGGAAAAGGCAGAATGTGCAGGTACCTGACAGTTTTCCACACGTCGAAGCCATCCAGAGGCTTAGTGCCATTGGCGTGTCCCTGGGCCAGCCTCACAAGCGTCGGCAGCCAGTCGGAGATATGGATGAGCTCCCGGTTCCTCACACCCTTCCGCTTCAGCAAGGGGCTTGCCACGAAGCCCACCCCTCGGACGCCTCCTTCCCACAGGCTCCATTTTCTTCCTCGGAGGGGCCAGTTATTGCCCCCCGCCAAAGTCTGCCCTCCGTTATCTGAAACACAATCGGGTCTTGGCATGAGGACCATGTTAACTTCAATACATTTAAGAACAGAGACTTCTATGTACACAGTTGTTACATGGTACCTGAAGAATAAAAAAGAAAACTCCTCCTCCCCCTCTCCCACACTTACTACCCTTCTCCCACCTGGCACTGCCCTCCACCACACAGATGTAACCAGGGGCCAGCACGGCACGGATGTGACGCAAGACCTTTAAATCCTCGGTGGATAGGGCCACTGGAAAACAAGGCAGTCCCCTGATGCCCGTGGACACATCCCTGTGCCACCCACACAACTAAGTTTCAAATGCACGTGTGTAACTGATGGGCAGCAGAGGTGACTGAGTCCCTGTAAGCTGGGCCCTCCTGGCACGTAAAAAGAAAACTGAGTGACTTAAAGCTCCTGAAAAGTGGGGACAATGGACCTTTTATTTTCCTCTTGGAAAAACTTTTTAACATTTAAACTGGTAACTGAATTAATATCCTATTCCCTGGCAATCTGAGCTCTTTCTTAAGTGTGAAAGTTGAAGATTTCTCCAGTGCTTTATAAATGCCTCTGTAAACAGTGCAGTCAGGTGGAAAAAATAATTGCAAGAAAAATTCCTCCTTTTGACAGGATGGCGAGATAAAGCTTTGGCGTGTGCAATGCCAGGGAAGAGAAGGTTTCTCTTCCAAGACAACAGATGGATGGGGACACTGATGAAGACAGGGTAGCGTGACAAGAGAGACTGAAGTTAAGTATCTTACCAGCCAGGTGAGGCCTCAGAGCTGGAAAGTAAGTTGGACTGTAAAAATCAAAAGTGATATGTCTTGTATACTGAGGTTACAGAATCATACTAGCTCCAAAAGTATCCATACACTTGGTTGACTTTAGAGACCCGTTTTAAGTAACATTTGCATGTTTATTACACTTAATCGTTTTTTAAAAGTAACTGTTGCAAAATGAACCACATGAGGGCAGTATGACCGACCTGGCTCTGTAGAACGTTACAAGTAAAGATTGATGACAGCAATCAGAGATCTGTCAAAGCCACAGGATCAAATGGGAGGAAAGAGAACAAACATTTGTTGAGTGCCCACTCTGCACCAGGCACCACCGTGATTTCCCACTATCTCTCACAGAATCTGGAGTCGGACAGACCTGGAACTGAAGCCTGATGCTGGCTGCTCACCAGCTGTGAGCAAGATGCTACCTCAGTTTCCCCATCTTTAATGTGGAGATAATTTCTACTTCACATGTTATGGTGAGAATGAAATGACACCATTTATGAAATTTCTTGGCAGGGTGTTTGGCACAACCTAAGTGCTCAATAAATGGCAACAACTGTTGTTTTTAATATTTACAATAACCCAAAGAGTCAAGTATTATAACCATTTTGTTGCTATACATATATATGTAATAGAATCAGATTACATATATATGTAAAAGGTTTGAAAAGACCAACCAGCTAGTAAGTGGCAAAGCTAAGACTCCAACAAGGTCTGTGTGACTCCCAAGACCTCTGCCCTTAGAGTGCCAAGCTCCAGCTGACCCCGGGACAGAGCAGGTTCACACACAGGGGCCACATAAACCTTCACTTCTGTAGGAAAACTGCCAACCTGGTCAGCCCCAGCAGAGTGTCCACTCTTCCTGAGAGACAGCAGAGGAGAGTTATTTCAAGGTGATGATAATTCCCTTCAGAGGAGCCTTTGCAGCTGGTGGGGAAGAAATTCAAGACTCCACTGCTAAGAAGCTTCTGACAGAGCTCTTAACAAACCACGTCCACAGTTCTTTTCTGTGCTTTGTGAAGGGGAGCGGAGAAGAGGATTGAGCTAGATTAGATGAAGGTAACAATTCCTCAACACATGGATGGATCTCATCATTGATACCACAGACTTACGAGAACCTTTCCTCAAACCTCACGTCTCTGCCTGACAAATACTCAAGGCCCAAACATTCACCCAAGCCATTTCAATGTCCACTTCATATTCAAGCTGAGCAGATCTGTATATTCAAAACAAGAGGGGCACCATCTTTAGCCAGAAGCAATTCCTCCATGATCCTGTTGCTCCACACAGTATGTTACTCATAACTGATGTATCAACACTTAAAAGAAGGTGCCATTTAGGTGCTACAAAACCAGGCTGGAAAGAAATGCTTACACTCTGCCCATGCTGTCAACACTCTGCCCATGCTGTCAACACTAGCTGAGACTGCACTATTATTTTGCTCTGTTGTCTTGATTGCTATAAATGATATTGGCTCAGTGCTTGTAGAAGATGCCTGTTGTCTCTGTATTAGATACTCTTCTTTGAAATGTTATATAATGTGCCTTTCAGTTCTACATATTTGTTAGTGCTCAATAAAAAAATATTGGGGCCGGCCCGGTGGCGCACTGGAAAGTGCGCCGCTTGGGAGCGCGGCGGCGCTCCCACCGAGGGTTCGGATCCCATGTGGAGACCGGTTCCCGCTCACTGGCTGAGCGCGGTGCAGGCGCAACACCGATGGTTGCGATCCCGTTGCCGGTCCCCAGTACGGGCGCGACACCGAGGGTTGCGATCCCGTTACTGGTCAGTAAAAAAGACAAAAAAGGAAAAAAAATATATATTGGATGATGGTGGTGGAAATAAGACTGGAGATAATGGGTATAAGAGTGGTTGGGCTGGAGTCTGATTCTAGAAGCAGCCCTTCAGTTATGACTCAGAGAGGAAAACACTCTGGGCTGTAAAGAGAATTTGGCAACTGCTTCTACTGTAGGAGCTGGAAGGTGTTTCCACGTATTACTAGGGGAGGGCACTGATGCAGTGAGTGTGACTGTTTTTGCGATTAGCTCGCTGTGATGTTTTGCCATTAGCTATGGTAAGCAATTCTACAATCAGCTATCAATGTGGGTTCCTCAATCATTTTTTCAAGAGCACTCCAGATAGAAAGCACTGTCAGCCGACATGCCCACAACTTCTCCTGGACTCCCCTGTCGTAGAGCCAACTGCAGCCGGGGCCACAGGAAGAGGGCAATTCAGGCCAGGGCCACAGGAAGAGGGCAATTCAGCCTCGCCTGGGGACTTGTACCTCCACAGGTGGCACCTGGCTGATAGCCATCACTTATCAGAAAAGGGGCAGAATCCACCAAATTAGGCCTCCCGTTGGTTAAATACATGAGAAATAGGGTGCTGTCCATCAGTTTACAGTCTCCTGGGTATTTATTTCAAAGAGTTCAACATAAAACTGAGAGTAACAACAAGAATAAAATAAGCTCGTTTGAAACAAGGCAGAAAAGGGAATTTCCTATATTGCTCACTTAAGTCTGACTTAAATTGGAATTTTTAAAAAGACAATAGAACCACCAGCATTTCAAACATGTTTCTCATCTTCCCTCCTAATTTTCTTTTTGGCAAAAGTTAATTTTTTTCTTGTTAAGAATTCATTTTCAAGAGAAATTTTTGTTTCATTTCCTGACTGACTTATGAAAATCCAAATCAAAATAAGATGACTCCGGCTAGTAAAGAAAGCTATGAAACATTTTTTTCAGGGAAATAGTTTTTCAGCAATGTTTTGGCAGAGGAAAAACCTAATTACAAAGCCTTTGCTGTCTAGAAAAGAAATGTCAAAATAAAACAAATGTTGTCATCTACAAACGTAAATCCCACTTTATTAGTCATTATTGAACAAAAATAACTGTCAAAAAGTCATGGAAAAACATTGGTTAGCCAAAGAGCTGAGCAAAAACATTAAGTAGATGACAATGAAGCCTCATCTGTATCCAGCTGATAAAAATTAAGATGAAACCATGACAACACATTAATTTTTAGGACTACTCCCCAAACAGTGTAATGCTGTGGCTGGGCTGTGGAAGGCTGCCCTGAACCGCAGGGCATGTATCTCTACCTCTGCCCCCGCAGATGCTTTGGCCTGGGGTTGGCCCAGACACCTTCTCACTCTGAGGCAGGGATCATACAAGGAGAAGCAAGGAGGCTCCAGCAGCCTCGTCCAGATATGGATTTCTCTCTGAACGGGGCCACCATTACGAGTGTGACTGACAGATGAGTAGGAAACATCATTTCAAAAACAGAGAAATCTCTTTGTCCCAAAAAAGTACCCAATTGATTCTTTTGGACTAATATTTTTAATTACTAAAAAGCAAATCAAAGACTTAATATATGTCTTAGTAGTCACCTGAAGGATTACGTAAACGCAATCCTCTCCTCCTAAGACATTTTGGAGAAAATATTTACCTAAATATTCAACTTGCAACCTGATGTTCTTCTCAAATCTTCTTTCCCTCTTGCTTTACATTCAATCACTTCTAACCAAATGTGCATTTGATTCTGTCAAGTCTATCTTTAAAATGGTTTTCTAGGGCCGGCCCAGTGGCGCACTGGAGAGTGCGCTGCTTGGGAGTGTGGTGGCGCTCCTGCTGAGGGTTCGGATCCCATGTGGAGACCGGTTTCCGCTCACTGGCTGAGCGTGGTGCGGGCGCAACACTGAGGGTTGCGATACCGTTACCGGTCAGTAAAAAAGACAAAAAAAAAAAGGAAAAAAAAATGGTTTTCTAATCCATCCCCCCTTCTCCAGCTCCACTGCTTTGGGTCAAGCGCTTCTCTCATCTGACTTCCTGGGCTAATTTATATACTGCTTCAAGGTGCCAGCAGAGGTGTTTGGAAAGTCCCAAACCAATCAGGCCACATTCATGTTTATAGACCTGATCGCTTTCCAATCAGGAAAAAGTTCAGACTTCAGCCCAACATGTGGAATCCTTCACCTCTGGCCCCAACTTCCTCTTTGGGCATCAAATCCTGCCCTTCCCCATAAAAAGTGCCCTGTGCTTCAGTCACATAGAAGTAACTCCTTCCTGTTGTTAGAATACGTCATGCCCTTTCGTGCTGACTTTGCACATATTGGCTCCTTTACCTAAAGTGCTCTTCTTCTTCTTTCCTACTTGACTTACATTTTAAGTCCCAGGTTAAATGGCACATCTTCTGTGAGCCTGTCACTTAGTCCCCCAGACAGTCTTTAT